TTTGTAGGAAATTTTAATTCTCAAGAAACTAGAGAATTTACTTAATATGCAAAAATATAAAAGGTGTCATGTAAGAGCAATGTTTTGACTAATTTTTATTATTTAGTCGTACAGGTTTGTGAGAAAAGCTATATATGTAGATATTAATTTTTGAAAACTGGACAATTCATCATGGGGGTATCTTATTATTAGACTGCAGATGTTTATGCATTTGCAGGAAATTTTAATTCTCAAGAAACTAGAGAATGTATTATTCTAAATATGCAAAAATATAAAAGGTGTCAAGTAGGGGCAATGTTTGGCTAATTTTTATTATTTGGTCATACAAATTTGTGAAAAATCCTTTCTACATATCAACTTTTGAAAACTAGACAATTCATCCAGGGGTATCTTATTATTAGACTGCGGATGTTTATGCATTTGTAGGAAATTTTAATTCTCAAGAAACTAGAGAATTTACTTAATATGCAAAAATATAAAAGGTGTCATGTAAGAGCAATGTTTTGACTAATTTTTATTATTTAGTCGTACAGGTTTGTGAGAAAAGCTATATATGTAGATATTAATTTTTGAAAACTGGACAATTCATCATGGGGGTATCTTATTATTAGACTGCAGATGTTTATGCATTTGTAGGAAATTTTAATTCTCAAGAAACTAGAGAATGTATTATTCTAAATATGCAAAAATATAAAAGGTGTCAAGTAGGGGCAATGTTTGGCTAATTTTTATTATTTGGTCATACAAATTTGTGAGAAATGCTTTCTACATATCAACTTTTGAAAACTAGACATTTCATCCGGGGGTATCTTATTATTAGACTGCGGATGTTTATCCATTTGTAGGAAATTTTAATTCTCAAGAAACTAGAGAATTTACTTAATATGCAAAAATATAAAAGGTGTCATGTAAGAGCAATGTTTTGACTAATTTTTATTATTTAGTCGTACAGGTTTGTGAGAAAAGCTATATATGTAGATATTAATTTTTGAAAACTGGACAATTCATCATGGGGGTATCTTATTATTAGACTGCAGATGTTTATGCATTTGTAGGAAATTTTAATTCTCAAGAAACTAGAGAATGTATTATTCTAAATATGCAAAAATATAAAAGGTGTCAAGTAGGGGCAATGTTTGGCTAATTTTTATTATTTGGTCATACAAATTTGTGAAAAATCCTTTCTACATATCAACTTTTGAAAACTAGACAATTCATCCAGGGGTATCTTATTATTAGACTGCGGATGTTTATGCATTTGTAGGAAATTTTAATTCTCAAGAAACTAGAGAATTTACTTAATATGCAAAAATATAAAAGGTGTCATGTAAGAGCAATGTTTTGACTAATTTTTATTATTTAGTCGTACAGGATTGTGAGAAAAGCTATATACATATTAATTTTTGAAAACTGGACCATTCATCAGGGGGTATCTTATTATTAGACTGCGGATTTTTATGCATTTATGGGAAATTTTAATTCTCAATAAACTAGAGAATGTACTTAACCTCTTGACGTCCTTGACCACATACAGTTACTCACAAAATTGAGCGTACACCTATGTAGTTAATAAAAACTGGTGGGAAAATGAACATAAACGGACATATTTAAAAGTAAAAATATAATATTTATTTTGTTCATATATTTTGACGGACAATTAGTGGAAAAAGTCTTAAATAAAATTAATTATTCATTTCTATTTAGCAAAAGCAACAAAACTGTTCTTGTTTTAGTGTCACAAAATTGAGCATACAGCAGATCAAATTAAACAAAAATAACTAACAGATTTTATTTTAATATTTTGTTGCAAATCCTTTTGTATCTATAACTGCTCTCAAACGTTTTGGCATAGACTCGACTAACGTTTCTGTAGTCGAACACGGAATACTATTCCATATTTCTACAATTTTGCGTTTAGCATCTGTTTTATTACTACATAACTACATTTATTTAATTGTAATTTTAATTCACGCCACAAATTCTCAATGGGATTAATATCCGGCGATTGTGGTGGAGTGTGTAATAATTTTGGCACGTTATATAGCAGTCACTCTTTAACAATATACGATTTATGTGTAGGATTATTGTCCTGTTGGAAATAATATATGGCTGGCATGTTTAATTTTAGAGCTGACGATTTCAAATTTTTTTTCAAAATATCAAGATATTTTAGTTTGTCCATAGATGTTTCAATAAATTCGCTATTACCGACTCCACTTGCTGCCACACATCCCCACAGCATTATTGAACCTCCGCCGTGTTTTACAGTAGGAACCGTATTCTTTTGATTGAACTCTGAATTCGGTTGTCTCCATACTATTATTTTTCCATCCGAATTAAATAAATTAATTTTAACTTCGTCGGAAAATATTACGTTCTTTCAAAAATTTATATCACAACTTACATATTTTTTTGCAAATTCCAAACGCTTGATTCTATTCACCTTAGAAATATAAGGCTTCTTCTAAGGCGTAGCACCCTACGAACAGTTTCTGTCGATATCGATTTTCTAATCCTCGATGAAACATCTGTTGTTAATTTTGGTACACTACTTTTTGGATTAATTTTAATTTGTCGTATTATGTACCGTTCGTCAGTTCCAGTCAGAATTTTTTTCCTTCCGCGTCCTGGCTGATTATGCAATGTACCATTGTATTTGTAATTGTTAATAATTTTTTGTACAGTAGAGTGGGCTCTACCTATTGTTTTTCCAATTTGCCTTAGAGATTTACCTTGACACTACAATTTGACAACTAATTTTCGCACAGAAATATCAGTTTCTGATCTTTGTGAAGCCATAGTGCAAATTTTCGCTAATAAACAATGACAAATGAAAATCAAACGTATCATAGCAACGGAACTATGTTATTAGATAGAATCGAATGAATTGTAAACCATGAGAAGTTTTACAAAAGTTAGTTTTCTAGTTACTAATAAACTGTACGCTCAATTTTGTGACGATAAAATAAGCATACTTTTACAGTTTTTGTTAAACATAGATGAACAATCAATATTGTTTAAAAATTTCGTCACGCATTATTTGCTGAAATGTCCAAGTAAAATGTATACTGCGTTTTTACTTTTAAATATGTCTGTTTATGTTCATTTTCCCACAAGTTTTTATTAACTACATAGGTGTACGCTCAATTTTGTGAGTAACTGTATGTGGACGTTTAGTTTTTTTTTTATAATTACAGTTACTGTCAATAATATAGACCAGAAAAAAAAAATTCTGTACATCTAAATAATAAAAATTAGCCAAAACGTTGTTCATACTTGACACGTATTGGGACATCATTTAATTGTAATTTTTAATTGAGTAGAATTAAAAATGGACTTTGAAATGCCCTGTCTTTCCAAGTGTAATCAATTTCTAATTAGCGGAAAACTGTAAACGCAGGAAGGATTCGAACACGCGATTCTCATAACTGGGGAACTTTAATAATCAAAGTCACGCAGACGCGTATTTAATTGCTGATTCAATTCGATCCGGTTCAACGCAACATTTGAATAAATATCCTTGCCATGAATGAAGCGACGCGCTACAGGAAGCAGAAAAACAAGAAAATGTCGAACCGTTGTAATAAATTTAAAACGATACTTTTTTATCACCAAACGTACCTATTATCGATCAACAGAATGAAAAATCTTATCAATAACTTATAAAAAAATTCGAAAATTGTCTCAACTCGTGAAATTAACAATGTGCAATCAATGTGTTAATAATATATTTCTCAAATGCGACAGAAAACTTGGTCTTTTTTTCATTCTTGGTTCTTGATTTAAAAATGTTTTACACGTTTAATCTCTTCAAGGACGATTTTTTTTTTTTGGTCTATTTATTATTGACAGTAACTATAATTATAAAAAGAAAAAACTAAACGTCCACATATGTGGCCAAGGACGTGAAGAGGTTAAACAATCCGAAAAATTTCAAGATACTCGTATAAGTCTCTAATTTAAAACAAAAAAAAAAGTAAATTTTTTTTAACGAGAATCACTACAAGACCATTTTTTAAAAATGGGAAAATAATCTGATTGAAAAATATTTCCAACACGAAACCAAATGTAATTGATTTTCAAAACGTTTAATAGAATTTCATCGTTATTCCACACACATTGTGTATGTAGTTCGAGGTTGCAGCCAACCATAATGCAAGGCCAAAATTATTCATCTGCGGTTTTTGGGTCATTGCCAGCGGTTTATAGTTTCAACTCGTTTGTTTGGGGTATTGTAGTGTTTGAAAAATTATAAATTGAAATTTTACCAAATTATAATGATCGAGCAATTAAATTTTATTTCTAACGTTGAATAACAACGGTACTTTCATTCCACGGCACATGCACGATCGTAATGCTTTAAAAAATTATATTTAAACGATGATGCAATTATTTACGAGTTATTTAAAAGTGCCAAGATTCTGAAAAGACTATTATTCCCCAATAAATAAATGCAATAATAAATAAATTACTTAATAAATTTCACGTCCAAAGACTTAACAAATATTCATATAAATCTAGAGACATTCTATTTCAGATAATAAATTATTTTTTATTAATAATATTAATAGTATAGTGGCATTGTCTACATCAACCACACTGAGTAACTTTAAATAGTTACAACATGTTGAAATTGCAAATATACATAGTTGCTTGTTGCGATCGCCAAGGTGAAAATCATTGCATCGTTTAAAAATATTATACAATTTTCAAGTACACACGATGTCCCAGATTTTAACTTTCCCAGCGTATTGTTATAGAATACGTTATATAAACGTAGGACGTTTGGATCTTTATTCAAAAATTATGACGAGATACGAAATAAATTAGTAATTTATAATTATTCCGATACAATGTGTGTATAATTATTCCAATAGAAATACATATATCATGTATATCTTTAACTTGGTTGGTTCCCACGAATGCCACAAGATGGCACAAGTTTCTCGCAAGTATAATTTCCATATAAAGCATATGTACCGCTGCTGCAGACCGATTTCTCCATCCTTGTCTTGGGGAGCAAAGTATACAATGATCGACAAGTGAGGATACTGTTGCTGAAACCCATTGTTAAACAAATATATCGCATCCACGATTTTACTTCGTGCGATGCAATTTTTGCGGGCCTCTTTACTTCACAAGAGGCTTAACAGTAAATAAGTACAGTCGTATTTACAAAAATTAAATATACAAACAAATCGAATATCTGAATTATAATTATTAAAAGTTACTCACACAATTACTAAATATGTTGACCCAATATTAATATAAATATTTATTAATTTATTATATATAAATTGTGGATTCGATAAACCCATAAATAATTATATATTATTAAACACTCTACCAATACATTTTAATAGAGATACATCCCAAGATTAATAGATATATATATATTATATAATATATTTATTGTATACTAAATATTATATACAGTGTTAAACAATTAAAACTAAAAATTCTAGTTTCCTTCTGAATAAACATTTCTTTTAACAACGTTTGCTTCTTTTCCATAATTGTTCTCAAGCTTCTTCTCGCTACACCAAAACGTTATTAATAAATAGTTAAATCAATAAGGATAATTCTCTTATATCCTCAAACAAAAAGAAACGTGCTCATAAATAGAATTATAGAGATGGAGAATGCGAATTAAACGACGGTTTTCACGCGCGTAAGACAGAGAGGGAAAGAGATGGTTCCACGTGGTTTCTGCACGCATAAATATTTATCCACCACGCCATTACACGTGAATCGTCGCAATCTCGCTGTGTTATACAGGATTTTATAATTGCGTCCTTGTAGGAATTCTTGTACAAGATGTAGTATGTATTTTATATGAATTTTACGACTAAACATTATACGTAAGAAACAATTTGTTTTTTATGTACGAACGTATAACGTGGGACAAAAAATATATATATATATATATATATATATATAAATAACGAGTCATAGAAGCTGCGTCAATTTTAAGGAAATATCATTTTTACTTGGCATTTAATTATATGTATAAGCATATAATATGTATGAACGAAATTAATACTGTCCTTATGAAACTAGCATTTTATAATTATACAGGGTGTTCGGCCAAAAATTTTAATGGGAAATTCTAGACGCCAAAATAAGACGAAAATCAGAAATATCAATTTGTTGACTGAGGCTCCATTAAAAAGTTAATAAAAATTAAATTAAAAAATTTCAAATCATTCTGAAAAAATTATTTTTGGTTGCGAGGCTTAATTGCAGTCGTTTTTTATGAATACACATATCCCTGAAATCCTACCCACTTTCGAGAAAAAAATTCGAGTAGGTACTTAAATTTTTAGACGAAATTAAAAAATTTCAAATCATACTAAAAAAATTATATTTAGTTACAGAGGTCAAATGCAAGTATTTTTGTATGAATAGACACATCCCGAAATTCTACGTACTTTCGAGAAAAAAATTCTTTTCCGAAAATATAATGTGAGGTTAAGAATACTACCCTGAAATGCAAATCTTTAAAATGTCATAACTCCTGAACAGATTATAGGATTTTAATTTTTCAAAACGCAAACAACGCGTATTTTGGTGAAGAATATGTAGAAATTGTAACAATATTGAAAAAGGTATTCCTTGACCCCGTAAAGTGAGAAAAACCCCATGAAAATGGTCCAATTTTCAAACAGCCATAAATCCCACAATAGTGAATATATTTCAATGAAACTTTTTGCTGAAGCAGAGCCCATGGGTATCTACAAAAAAGTATTAAACAACTTTTCAGAAATTTTTAAGAAAAATCGACAAGGAGGTAGGCGCTGCCTTTTTTCGACGAAAAAAAGTTACAAATCGTTCTGGAAAAATTATTTTCAATTGCGGGGATCAATTACAATAATTTTTAGTGTATAGACCTACCCTCGAAATCCTAGCCAGTTTCTAGAAAAAAATTCAGTACGGACGGAATTTTAAACGTTAATAACTTTTTAACGAAGCCTCCATCAACAAATTAGTATTCTTGATTTTCGTCTTATTTTGGCCTCTCCTATAAAAATTTTTCCCAGGGGTGGACGAACACCCTGTATATAAAAGTATTATTAGTAACTTGCAATCAATTTTATAAAATGGTAGTTTCATAGGGACAGTACACTTACTTTTAAAAAGTATTATTTACTAATTTGCAAAAAATTTTACGAAATGGTAGTATTTCACAGGGAGTATTAATTTCGTTCAAACATATTATATGATTATACATGTAGTTAAATGCTAAGTAAAAAAGATATTTCCTTAAAATTGACGCAGCTTCTATGACTCGTTATTTCGCTCACGTTTCGTGAAATACCTATGTATATTGTCCAGGCACGAGTGGGATAACCATTGAGCAAGAACGTTGTGCAACGTAACCCTAACTGTTGGAATAAATAAGTGAACGTTAAATGTGAACCACCAAACCAGTTCTTCGTCTGTGGCTTTTATTCGTAATATACGCTTACTCTGTGATAGTATCGTCTAACAAAATAACCTAATTAAGAAATCTACCAGCAATTTATGTACGTTTTATTGCGTATAATCAAAGTAAATAAAATTGTAATTTTATTTATAGTTGTATCCTTAAAATAGACTTGAACAAATTGTCTATATAATATTATAAAATACCCGATGTTTCGCTTATGTTTGCTTTTACAACGAAGGTATACGTATATGACATAAGTCGTTGGAAATTAAATTTGCAGACTTTTTTCTTGCACGTGTAATGCACCACTGACCACTAGAGATGGCGTGAACTACTACTTTTTAATCACTCCTGATTCGACCACGTTCAGACCCAATCATGGTGATTTTTCACAGTGATTCACGACTCTTCGAGATCGCTTTTGATTGGTGGGGAGCGTTCTTTTCACTTTTCACGAATTATGGCCTTAGACAGTATATGTATTATATTATAATATGGTCTAAAAGCAATGTTAACATAATTTTCTTATTGGGAGAAAGAAAAGGAAAAATTAAAAGTGATAAATAGATGTAAGTACAAGTTTTATTCCTCGTTGTTTCAACATTCGTTTCACAAATGTTCGTGAAATTTTTCAACAAAGTATACGTAAAACTAACCTATTTGTAATTTTAAATTCTAACTTATTTTTTTATAATATAAAAATACAAAAGTATACAAAATGTCATATTAATGTATAAAAACGTATATAAATGTATAATATGTATGTTTTCATATAAATGAACATAAGAATTTTCATTACTGATGATTTTAGACATTTTCTTATTTTTGAAACGAGTGTTTTACACCTAAGCAATACTTCTTTTTCGTGGCAACAAACTTATCATGTATTTAAATAATCGACTGAAACAATTTGACATTTGAAATGTACAAAATATGCAATTAAGCAGCCTTTTTCATTGCTTAGGCTACATTACATTACAATTTAAATTTGGCGCATTTGTAATTCTTTGAATGTCCACTGAGGGGAGTTAGCCGATCACTAACGATCATAGTTAACGTGAACCGCTACTAAAACGCCATCTTTCGCATCACGGTCGCGTGATTTTGTGATCACGATTGTTAGTGATTTTGTACGCTATCTCTACTGACCACTATTTCTTGCTGGCATAATAAATACTGGGAGGAAAGGATAAGAAAACTCGAGACAGAATCGAAACTTTTTGGGTCGTAATAAATTTTGAAACAGTATAGTATAGTCTTTGCGACAGTACGGTTAATTGGACGTCTGCTTTATGCGAACGACGCTGTAAAATCATCCCGAGTCTGCCTAAACAATTTCTGACGAACGTCTCGCCTCTGTTCTTTGAACGAACGGTTAACAAGCTTAGTAATTAAACGCAAATTTTTTTTACCGAGTAAACTATTTTACCAGTCGTAATCGAGGGACGAGGAAACTGTGTTTCTTTAGAATTGCTACTTTTTATTCAAGATGTGAACATTGCTGGACGCAGTCATGACTAGAGATGGCGTGCAAAATCACTAACAGTGATTTATCACAATGATCAAAAAATCACGATCATGCTCGTGATTAAACTCCATTCACGACCGTGATCCGAAAGATGGCGCTTTAATAACGGTTCACGTTAACTGTGGTCGTTAGAGTTCCGGTAACTCCCCTCAGTGAAAAATCAAAGAATTACAAATACGTCAAATTTAAATTGTATAGTAATGTAGTCTAAGCAACGAAAAAGGCTGGGCTAGGTCTAGGTTATTATTTAAAAATAACAATATAGATAATTTTAATGGTTTTAAATTAGTCCAGCTTTTGAAAGTATCCCTTCGCCAATTCATCTAATATTTCCTACTTTGCATATTAAAATATATGGTAGGTTTTTACTCATAATAGCTGCTTCAGCTATAATTGAGCCCTCTAATAATATAAATCTATCATGTGATATACTCATACGCAAACACAATGATTTTAACTAAATTTGTTTATATTCTGTTATTTTTACATTATTATAAATATATTTATTATATGCTTAATCAAACCCTGCTGAACTGCTTTTATAATAATATTAATCATAAAGTTATAGCATAAGTAACATGTATACAGGGTGTTCGGCCACTCTTGGGAAAAATTTTAATGACAGATTCTAAAGGCCACAATAAGACAAAAATCAAGAACACCACTTTGTTGATTAAGGCTTCGTTAAAAAGTTATTAACATTTAAAGTTCCGCTCGTACTGAATTTTTTTCTCGAAAATGTGCAGGATTTCGGGGGTACGTCTATTCACCAAAAATGATTGTAATTGATCCCTGCAACCGAAATTAATTTTTCTAGAACGATTTGAAATTTTTTTTTTTGTCGCATTTAGGTTCCAAATTAGATTTTCGGTTATGAATTTTTGTCTCGAAAGTGTGTAGAATTTCGGGGGTATGTGTAATGACCAAAAATGATTGTAATCGACCTCCGCAATCGAAAATAATTTTTCCAGAACGATTTGAAGTTTTTTATTTTTGTCGAAAAATTTCACATTCTCTCGAATTCTTTTCTTAAAAGTGGGTAGGATTTCAAAGGTATGTCTAATGATTAAAAATTATTGTAATTGACCCCTGTAACTAAATATAATTTTTTTAGTATGATTTGAAATTTTTTAATTTAAATTTATAATAACTTTGTAACGAAGCCTCAG